GTGCCATGGAGTCGGTTCCAGCTCATAGCAACCCTGTACAGGGTTTCCAAGGCTATAAATCTTTACAGGAGCAAAAAGCCTCATGTTTCTCTTGCATAGCAGCAGGTAGTTTCAAACTGCGGATCTTGAGGTTAACACCCCAATTTGTAACCACTACACTACCAGAGCTTCTTAAAATGGATATCATAAGAGAAACTAAAACTTGATCTTGAGAGGAGCAAAGCTAAAGCAAATGGAAGAAATGAGGAAGTGAAAGAGCTGAACAGAAAATTTCAAAGGGCAGCTCAAGAAGACAAAGTAAAGTATTACATACTGAAATGTGCAAAGACCTGGAGTCAGAAAACCAAAAGGGAAGAACATGCTCAGCATTCTTCAAGTTGAAAGAACTAAAGGAAAAATTCAAGTCTTGGCTAGCAATATTGAGGGATTGTATGGGCAAATACTGAATTATGCCAAAACCATCAAAAGAAGATGGAAAGAATATATAGAGTCATGGAACCAAAAAGAGTCAGCCAATATTCAGCTATTTTAAGAGGCAGCATATGATCAAGAACCAATGACAATGAAGGAAGAAGTCTAAGCTGCTTTGAAGGCATTGGTGAAAAACCAAGCTCTAGGAATTGATGGAATACAAATTGAAATCTTTCAACAAACTGATGCAGCACTGGAGGTTCTCACTCATCTATGCCAAGAGATTTTGATGATAGTTAACTTGGACAACTGATTGGAAGACATCCATATTTTTGCCTATTCAAAACAATCGTGTACCACTGGAATGGGGGAAATCATTGAATAATATTATTACTAGCATATACAAGTAAAATTTTGCTGTTTATTGCAGCAATATAGAAACAGCTGCCAGAAATTCAAGCCAGATTTAGACGAGGATAGGGAACTAGAGATCTTGGCTGAAAAAAGAGAATACCAGAAAGAGGTACACTTGTGTTTTATTAATTAAGCAAAGACATTCGACTGTGTAGACCATAACAAACTATGGATAACACTGAGAAGAATGGGGATTCTAGAATACATAATTATGCCCATGAGGAGCCTGTGCATAGACCGACAGGCAGCTGTTCAAACAGAACAAAGAAAAACTGAATGATTTAAAATCCAGGAAGTTGGGTATCAGGGTTGTATCTTTTCACCATACTTATTCAATCTTTTTGCTTAGCAAATTATCTGAGAATCTGAGTTATATGAAGAAGAACATTGCATCAGGATTGGAGGAGGACTCATTAACCACCTGTCATGTGCAGATGATACGATCTTGCATGTTGGAAGCAAACAGTACTTAAAATACTTACTGATGAATATCAAAGAATAAGGACTTCAGTATGGACTATACCTCAATATAAAGAAAACGAAATCCTTACAACTGGACCAATAAATCGCATCATGATAAATGAAGAAAACATGGGATCCAAAGATTTCATTTTGCTTGGCTTCACAATCAACACTCATGAAAGCAGCAGCCAAGACATCAAACAACATATTACATTAGGCAAATCTGTAGCAAAAGACCTTTTTAAAGGGTCCAAGAACAAATATGTCACTTTGAGAACTACAATGCACCTGACCCAATGGTATTTTCAATTGTCTCATACGGATATTAAGGTTGAATCTATGCATTTGAATTATGGAGTTGGTAAAAAATACTGAAAGAAATCACCTTTCAGTCAAATAATAAACAGACATATAAAGTAACCAATAACACTCATGAAGAATATGCTCCTCAGAATAATAAACCAAAGAACAAAAGCGCAGCATTTTCCCCCAAAGTTCAGAAGGCAGGAAGGGACAGGAAAGTTGGGCAAATGGAAACAAGGGACTAAGGAGAAAGTAAGACAAGTGCTGATATATACAGTGGATTGCAACTAATGTCACACACACAAAAACTGTCTATGATTTGCTAAATGGGAAACTGATTTGCTCTATAGAAAACTTCCCTAAAGCTCAACAAAATGTTCAAAAAGAAAAAAAAAAAAAAAGAATTAATAAGTTACTGAAAAGGAGTCTTGGTGTGGTGCTGTGGATATGAACTGGACAGCCACCTGCAAGGTAGGTGCTTCAAACCCAGTAGCTGCTCCTCAGAAATCCTATGCAGAGTCACTATGAGTAGGAACCAACCCAATAGCAACAACAATAACAATAACAGCAGAAAGTATATTAGAGTGAGGAATTACAAATGTTTGGCAAATTCATTAAAAAAAAATTCTGGACAAGCTATGTCCTATAGCTAGTTATGTGAGGTTGTTGTTGTTGTTAAGTACTGTGGAGTCAGTTCTGACTCACAGTGACCCTGCACCGGGTTTCTGAGGCTGTAAATCTTTACGGGAGCAGAAAGCCTCATCTTTCTTCTGCAGAACAGCTGGTAGTTCCGAACTGCCGACCTTGAGGTTAGTAGCCCGATTTGTAACCACTACACTACCAGATATTATTCACTAAACCTGCAGGAGGGGAGGAAAAGTTCTCTGATTCCCTATTAGCACCTAGGCCAGCATTTGTATAGGGATGGTGTTTGATGGCACATGAAACAGACTTTTAAAAAAATACTAGGATTCCTGGATTGAATCTTATATTTCTATATCTGGATTAAGTCCATATTACCTATAAATTTTGGCATCAAAAACCTTAAAGTAATCCTTACAAAAAAGAAAGAAAGAAAAAATATATATACATACATACACCTGGAGGTATGTATATATTATGAAATTATTTTTAAACTATTGAACTATAGCCTACTAGTGCATCTGAGGAAGGAACCCTGGTTGTGTAGTGGGTTAAGAGTTGGGCTGTTAACCTCAAGGTCAACATTTTGAATCCACCAGCTGCTCCATCAGAGGAAGCATTCCCAGAAACCCTATATGGGGTTGCTATGAATCAGAACTGACTTGGTGACACACAACCACTACCACCACCAACGCACGTGAGAACTCCTGGTGTGGTGCTGTAGGATCAGCCCTGGCTTCATTGCAAACGACGTGATCGGTGATTCAACAGCACTATCTGCTCCTGAGAAACTCTGTAGGAGTCAGAATCGACTCAACATCACTTAGCAACAATGCACTTGAAAATTAATTGTGACAATAAAATATTTAAAATCTTTTGCCATGTACTCAGAACTTCAGTAGCAAGTATCAAAGAAACTAACATACAGTTAACAAAAGACACAAGTATTTATGCACATATACACTAATTCACAACCATCCCACATCCCACAGAGTCTTTGCTGTGTTTTGCAGGCAGCTGTCAAATTAAATGACTGCTATTCTATGGGCCAGAAACCATGTTACTTAATGCTCTTCGGGCTGAGTTTCTTCTGGAGTATTTGGATAATTTTTTTTTTTTACCCCATGTCACAGGAGTTTTTTGAAAAAATGTAGATATTTATTTTTAAAAACTTGGGTAAAATCATAAGATTACAAGAGCACTGATTAAAGCAATCAAAGTCAGAGCCAGCACTTCTGGGAAATGATACAGACAATCTGATTCCAAAACCCACTGAGTTATCAGTTGCCATCTTGGTGACCCCATGTACATTTTAAAGTAGAACTACGCTCACTTTTTAATGGCTGTGAACTTTTGGAAGTAGATTGCCAGCCCGTTCTTCTCAGGTGCTTCTGGGTACACTTCAACTATCAGCCTTTTAGCAGTCAAACCCATTAACCACTTGCACCATCCAAGGACTATACTCAATGACTTATTAGCTGTCATGGAGTAAGTAGGTTCTGACTCATGGGTGACCCCATCTGTGCAGAGTTGCTGTTGTTTTTAAGTATCATCAAGTCAATTCCTACTCATAGTGACCCTGTACAGTGTTTCTGAGGTGTGATTGGTGGGTTTGAACCACTGACCTTGTGATTAGCCGTACAGTGCTTATTTTACAGTGCCACAACAGGACTCCATGTATGTAGAGTACAGCTGCTAACTAAGGGTTAGTTAGGTGCCGGTGTGTCATTCTGAGCCACCAATCTGTTAGCTACTAGTGTATTTAACCATTCACACCACCCAGGAACTCCAATGACTATACCAAAACAAAACAAAACAACATCCTCAAAAAACAAACAAAAAGAAAACCTAAATCACTAAATCAACTCCAGTTCACAGCAACCTTATAGGACATAGTAGATCTGCTCCATAGGGTTTCAAGGTCATAAATCTTTGTGGAGAGAAACTGTCAACATCTTTCTCTTGCGGAATGTGTAGTGGATTCAAACTACTGACCTTTTGGCCAGCATGGACTGAGGATCATAGTTCACATGTTCTAAGAGTTCCTAGTCCTAAAATAAGGATTCCTGTTTGGATTCTAGAATCTCTTCTTCCCCATCAGTGACTAACTGGCAAAGGACCAAGGAATAAGGTCCTTTGAGAAAACATTTCTGACAACTAGGCAATCCAGCACACCCTGTTATATAATACTATTGATTGTCAAAGGCTTAGATACTATACCACTGGGGCTCCTAATGAGAGGCTGAAATTACCCAGCAGAAGCTGAAGTCAAGGGATCTTAACTTTCTTTTCCCCCCAGCCCTTTCTTCCTCCTATCTGCTAAAGAAAGTCTCAAGGTTCTGAAAGTATGCAGGAGAGCAAATTTCCTCTTGTCAGTTCAAAATTAAAACAAGGGGAAAACTGAAACAGGAAATTGATTAGAATAAATTTAAAAATCACTGACCCCCCAAAATAAGCCTTTATACCAGGATTCACACTGCTTTCTGTCCTACTTTTCTTACACTACCCACCTCAGTTTTTATTAAGGAGAAATTTAAACAACTGGGATAATTTTACTAGGATATTTATGGACTGCAGATCATAGCTCACATGTTCTAAGGTTCCTAGTCCTAAAATAAGGATTCTAGAATCTCTTCTTCCCTGTCAGTAACTAACTGGCAAAGGACCAAGGAATAAGGTCCTTTGAGAAAACATTCCTGACAACTAGGCAATCCAGCACACCCTGTTATATAATACTATTGATTGTCAAAGGCTTTAATGTGACTCACCTTTCCCAAGCCATCCATGGAGTTATTTTCCGCAATCACCGGGATTTCTGGCTTAGCTTAAAGGCAAATAAAACATTATTAGTGGCACTGAACACCATCCAATATGAACACTAGTAGGTTCTGTGAGACATTCTCATTCATCAAATATTTATTAAGCTCCAACTGTATGATAGACACTGAGCAGCAAAGTTGCACAAAACATATTCATTGTCCTTAATAAATTTACGCTTTCATGGAAGATTGTTGTTGTTGTTGTTATGTGCCATGGAGTCTGTTCCGACTCATAGCAACCCTGCACAAGGTTTCCGAGGCTGTAAATCTTTACGGGAGCAGAAAGCCTCATCTTTCTCCCATGGAACAGCTGGTAGTTTCGAACTGACAGATACATAAATTTGAAATTATAATACACTAAGAACCATGAATGAAGACATGTAAGATATGAATAAAGTCTGTAAAATAATCTCAAGCCCAATCTTGGGGATGACAGGAGGCTTCTGAAAGAGGCAACATCTAACAGATACTTGGTGTAGTGGTGTAGTGAATTATTTAATATGTCTCTTCTAGCCTAAGATGTTGTAACTCTACCAAATGACTCTTTACTAAATAATAGTTCTAAATAAGAGAAGGTGGGAGAAGATACTGACAGGATGGTATGGTTCAATTGTGAATGACTATAAACAGAGTTCATAGTGATTATAAAAACGTGAATGACAGCATGCGTATAAAAGGAGCCATCTGAGAAGCAGGGAGGCAGATTTTACTAAGAACAAGGAAAGTCAGGAGTGGAGTGTTCTTTGGATCCAGAAATTCCTGTGTACTGAAACTCCTTGAACCAGGGACAGAAATCTGTGACAGCAGAGGAGCAGCAGTGTAGAACAAAGAGACAGAGCAGTGGGCTTCCCAGACACAGAGCATAGGGTTGAGGGAGTTTGGTCAGGAATCTTGCTTATAGAGTGGGGTGCTCCTAGGCACTTAATTGGGGAGCTACATTTGCTAACCCATGGTGCTTGAGTCAAGTGCCTTCATTATGGTGGAGTGATGTGTCCTATGGGCAGCAGCCCTGAAAGAGCTTTGTAATATTGCCAGAATAGAGCAAAGGCCATGCCAAGATGGCCTGCCTATGGTCATGGCTGAGGAAACACTGTCCTGACTGGAAGAATTGTGCCCTGAACATTTCTGATCCTCAATTTTCAACTGTTATGGTGCTGTGGGTTAGTTAGTGAGCTGGACTGCCAGGTCAGTTTGAACCAAAAGGTCAGTGGTTCAAGCCCACCAGCCTCTCCTCAGAAACCCTATACAGGGTCTCTATGAGTAGGAACTAACTCGATGATAGTTAACAATAGTAACAACAACTTAACTAACATACCTCAGAACTACGAGTGTGGTACACATCTGAGTTCTAGGTGGCCATGGCCATTGCTGTGAGTTATTGACTCTAGATGAGAAGTAGAGAGTACTGTAGGAAAGATGGCTGGGTAACATTTATTTAAGAAAATAAATGTATTAAGGTGGAATAAGAGATCAGATTGTTCTGTATTAAACATGTCATAGCAACACAGAAGTAAACTGACCTTCATGTTTCAAACAAAAATAATTTATAAGTTCTTATTTGTGAAAAAATAAATTTATGGTTTTATTTCCAGTACATGAAAAAGTAAAAAAAAAGCAATTTCTTTTTTATCCCCTCTTCCTTCTTTTTACCTTTCTTTTATTTTTTAACTGCCTTTCCCATCACTCAAGTTAGCAGGTATCTAGATGTAATTCTCCCTTCCTTCACAATCCTGGTAACCATCATAGAAAGTTTATTATAGAATGAAAAACTTTTCCTGAATTTTTATAGTAGTGGTCTCATACAATATCTGTCCCTTTGCAAACAACCAATTTCACTCCAGTTTCTTCCATGTTGTGTGGTGTTTTGCAAATTTGTAGCTGTTCTTCAATGCTGCATAATATTCCATTATGTGTATATGTACTAACGTTTGTTCAACATTCCTCTGCTGATGGGCGTCTAGGTTGCCTCCATCTTTTTGCTATTGTGTATACTACAGTGAATTTAGAGATCATCTGAAGAACAGATTTGATACATTAAACACTAAAGACCAAAGACCAGAAGAGTTGTGGGATGACATCAAGAACATCATATGTGAAGAGAGCAAAAAGTCATTAAGTAGACAAGAAAGAAGGAAAAGGTCAAAATGGATGTCAGCAGATACTCTGAAACTTGCTCTCAAGCATAGAGATGCTAAAGCAAATGGAAGAAATGAGGAGGTCCAAAAGCTGAACAGAAAATTTCAAAGTTCAGCTCGGGAAGATACAGCCAAATATTATAATAAAATGTGCAAAAATCTGGAATCAGAAAACCAAAAAGCAAGAACACGTTCAGCATTTCTTAAGCTGGGGGAACTGAAGAAAAAAATGCATGACTCCATTTTTGCTATTGAAAGATTCTCTGGGAAAATTATTGAATGATACAAAAAGCATCAAGAGAAGATGGAAGGAATCCACAGAGTCACTGTACCAAAAGGAAATGGTTAATGTTCAACTGTTTCAAGAGGTAGCATATGATCAAGAGCCAATGATACTTAGTGAGGAAGTCCAAGGTGCACTGAAGGAATTGGTAAAGAACAAGGCACCAAGAACTGATGGAATAAAAATTGAAATCTTTCAAGAAAGTGAGGCGGCACAGGAGGCACTCATTCATCTCTGCCAAGAAATTTGGAAAACAACTATCTGGCCAACTGACTGGAAGAGATCTGGTTTTTGTGCCCATTCCAAAGAGAGGTGACCCAACAGAGTACAGAAATCATCAGACAATCTCTTTGATATCTCATGCGAGTAAAGTTTTATTAAAGGTAATACAGAAATGGCTGCAAGCATACATTGACAGAGAACTTCCAGAGGTTCAAGCCAGATTCAGAAGAGGCTGTGGAATGAGGGATATCATTGCTGATGTCCGACAGATCTTGGCTGAAAGCAGAAAATACCAGAATGATGTTTACCTGTGTTTGATTGACTACTCAAAGGCTTTTGATTGTGTGAATCATGCCAAGCTATGGACAACATTGAGAAGTATGAGTATTCTGGAACACTTAATTGTGTTCATGCGGAATCTGTACATAGACCAAGAGGTAGTTGTTCGAACAGACCATAGGAACACTGAATGGTTTAAAATAAAGAATGGTGTGCGACAGGGTTGTAGTCTTTCACCAAACTTATTCAACTTGTATAATGAACAAATAATCTAAGAAGCTGGGTTTTATGAAGAAAAACATGGCATCAGGATTGGAGGAAGACTCATTAACAAGCTGCGGTATGCACATTATACAAGCTTGTTTGTTGAAAGTGAAGATGACTTAAAACATTTACTGATGAAGATCAAAGAGCAAAGCCTTCAGTATGGATTGCATCTCAATATAAATAAAACAAAAATCCTCATCACTGGACCAATAAACAACATTCTTATCAATGGAGAAAAGATTGAAGTTGTCATTCTACTTGGATCAACTATCAACACTCATGGAAGCAGCAGTCAAGAAATCAAATGATATGTTGCATTATGCAAATTTGCTGCACAAGACCCTCTTAAAGTGTTGAAGAGTGAAGATATCAGCTTGAGGACTAAGGTGTACCTGACCCAAGCCATGGTATTTTCAATAACCTCCTATGCATACGAAAGCTGGACAGGGAATAAAGAAGATCACAGAAGAATTGATGCTTTTAAGTTATGGCATTGGAGAATATTGAAAGTATCATGGGCTGCCAAAAGAACAAACAGATCTGTGTTGGAAGAAGTGCAGTCAGAGTTCTGCTTGGCGGCCAGGATGGCCAAACTTTGTCTCTCATACTACAGACATATTGTCAGGAGGGACCAGTCACTGGAAAAGGATATCATGTTTGGTAAGGTGGAGGTTCAGAAAAAAAAGAGGAAGACCCCCAGAGAGATGAATTGGCAAAGTGCCAGCATCAATGAGTTCAAGTGTGGTAACAATTGTGAGGTTGACCCAGGATTGGGCAGTGTTTCGTTCTGTTGTGCATAGGTAGCTATGAGTCAGTACTGACTCAATGGCATCTAACAACAAAAACAACAACAACAATTATTTGGTAGTGTAGTGATTACAAGTTGAGATGCTAACATCAAGGTCAGCAGTTCAAAACTACTACCCATTCTGTGGGAGAAATGTGAGGCTTTCTGTTCTTGTAAAGATTTACAGCTTTGGAAACCCTATACAGCATCAGTATGAGTCAGAACTGACTTCACGGCACACAACTATTAACCATTCAGCCATTATTGTTTTGATCTGTTGTTGGATTCTATTGGTGTAATTTTTTGACAAATGCTAAGTTCAGTGAACAAGAACAAGAAGTTCCCTTAATGGGGAATGTGGAGGAAAGGAGGTAGAGGAGAAAAAGGAAGAGAAAAGTTTTTTATACATATAAAAGCCTAGAAATAAAATATACTTTTACATTTTATAGACACGGACAGATATTTGACACTTGTTTTATTGCCTGGTGGTAGAATGCTGGCGTCAGCATACGCAGACCCTGGGTTGATCAGTGGTCCTGTGACATGGACGAAAATCCAATTCTGAGGCCCTCCTCAGGATAGCGAGCCATGGACCCTGAGGGCCAAAGGAAGTGACCTCCTGACGTCCCGGGTTCATTGTTTTTGCGAACTCACTGGTTGGCTACCTCTGTATAATTTTCTTTGGTCC